GGCCTGTCTACCCGTCAAGAAACTTACGGGACCATCTCTTCAGCCCTACATACAACTACAATCTTTAACCCCAGGATGTAATTTTCCAAACCTACCGATGGACCACCTGCTTAGGAAGAGAAAACATGAGATCCTCTCTCCTCATGTTGGTGATTTGCCTGCAGGCAGGAAAAGCCACACACAGCAGCCCAAGAAAAGCACATTTTTGAAGTCTGCCTTCTTGGGGTCAGGGGATAGCAGCTTCAAAATATGAATTCCAAAAATCTTTATTCATTTGCTTAACAGATAAGCCCGGGAAGATCTGTCTAGCCTCTGGTGGAATCTTCTAGAATTAAAAGGAAACACCCTAAGCAAGTCAAGTGTGGAGCTGGAAAAGTTGGGATTGAATCCAAACACAACCAGTAGCCCATTTTTATAGTTCCACCTTGGTGGTGGTGGTTGTTTTTTTTTTAAATAACATTAGCTTATGTTGGTATAATTTGGGAAGGGGAAGGGAAAAAATTGTCAAACTAGGGATACAGGTGGACCCATTGCAACAATGAGATATACAAGACCTTATGCTGAAAAATGAACTTTACAACTTTGGCAGGGGGTGGGGGAGATGGGAAGGGATGGGAAGGGGAAACAAAGGAGGAGGCAACAATGCTTGATAAGAAATGTACTCATTACCTTGCCCATGTAATTGTAACCCCTCTGCTCTGTATGGTATTTTCACAATAAAAAAAACTTACTAAAAAAAATCAGTAGCCTAGACACAGAACAAAAAGGCCTTAAGGTACCATGGGCTTTATTTTAATAAAGTAGCATTAAAGGCCAGAAGCTCAGTGGTAGACTGTTTGCTTAGCATGTGCAAGGTCCTGGGTTCTATCCCTAGTACTTCACGTAAATAGCAGCTTTAAGCTCAGGTGTTGGCCCACCAGAATCCACTTGTTTGAGGTATGAGGATCAGGTTCAAGGTCAGCCTAGGCTGACTTTGGAACCCTGTCTCAGAATTTAAAAAGGGGAAAAAAAGCAACTTTAAAGAAAAGTTTTTAGACATCTACACATTTACACACACACATACACACAAAATCAAGATAAGTTTCTGGCAAGTTTTGCTAACCTAGCCAGTTTTCCTGTGGTTTTAGCTGGTCTTTCAGGAAATCTTCATGAACATCAACAATATCCTATTAACTCTACTACGGTTTCTTCATTGTAATCTACTAAGTCTATACTTTCAATCTCGGTAATTTTCAGGCAAGAGATATACTACGCTAAGTCTGTAAACGATCAACTATCCTGTCAATTCTCTGACATTTTAGCACCAGTTTTATCTTTTAAGTTATATTTATCTACAGTGTCCAAGTGCTTTCTACACTGCAGCACTTCACAACGGACTCACGTAGACTGCAAGCTCCTAACCCATTTGTCTCATTCTACCTTGGTAATTCTAACATTATGGGAAAAGGTGAATGCTCCACTGGTTTTGATCTTGGGAAATATCACAACACAGTCGGAGCTTTGGTGCTTTAAAACCTACAATTTAAGCTCCAGTTTAAAGTAATTGAACATTTTTAACACAATCTCCATCTATTTCTACATTATAGGCCATTTTATATTTTGAAGTTGTGTGTTAATTTTAAGATAGTGTAACGATTCTTTACATCCTGATGTTCAATGTTAATGGGCTGCAAATTATGTTCAGTACTACTAGGAGCTCTGGGTTGACAAGTTGCTGGTAAGGTGCTGAGCAGATTTACACAGACTTGACCCTTATTTACTGCCTCTTCTTCATCAAGCTTTTGTGAATTCTGCTCAATATTCTTGCTAAGCCTTCCATTATTTTTTTTTTTTTTTGGTCGGTTGTGGAGCTTGAACCCTGGGCTTGGGCGCTGTCCCTCAGCTCTTCAGCTCAAGACTAGTGCTCTCCCACTTGAACCACAGCACCACTTCTGGTTTTCTGGTGGTTAATTGGAGATAAGTCATACAGACGCTCTGGCCTGGGCTGGCTTTGAACCATGATCCTCAGATCTCCGCCTCCTGAGTAGCTAGGATTACCGGTATGAGCACCACCGGAGTCTGGCAACTTCCATAATTTTTTTTTGGGGGGGTCCGGTCGTGGGGCCTGAACTCTGGGCCTGGGCATTGTCCCTCAGCTCTTCAGCTCAAGGCTAGCGCTCTACCACTTGAGCCACAGCACCACTTCTGGCTTTTTTCTTTTTCTGCTTATGTGGTACTGAGGAATCGAACCCAGGGCCTCATGCATGCAAGGCAAACACTACCACTGAGCCACCTTCCCAGCCCAACTTCCATAATTTTTTAAAAAGGTATTTATGTGTATGATATTAAGAGATTGATGATTTCTCATTTTAAACATATCCAAAGGCAGCAAGACAAGTATGTGCCACTCATTCATAAGAATTACATATTTAGTAAAGGTCTAAGATTTCCCCAAGGGCCTAAAACTGTGTGCTTTGTTTTCCTTTTGCTTTCCAATACCCTCTCTGACTACTTAATACTCCCCGCTGAAGGCCCCTTACACTGTACATGTTGGTAGAAGTGGAGCTGTGGCTCTAGTGGTAGGGCACCAACCAGCCTTGGGCAAAAAAGCTACAAGAGACAGTACCCAGGCCTTAAGTTCAAGCCCTGGCATAAAATAAGAACAGGTAAGGACTAGGAAAGTGGCTCAGTGGTAGAATGCTTGCCTTGCATGCATGAGGCCCTGGGTTCGATTCCTCAACACCACATAAGCAGAAAAAGCTGGAAGTGGTGCTGTGGCTCCAAGTGGTAGATCGCTAGCCTTGAGCTGAAGAGCTGACAGTGCCCAGGCCCACAGTTCAGGCCCCATGACCAGCAAAAAACAAACAAACAAAAAAAATAAGGACATATGAAAATGAAGGCAACAGAAAATGGCAGGAAAATGTAAGTCTTTTACAATGTTCAATTATTCTACATGGTCAGCTTAAGAAACAAAATAGGAAAAATTACTATTTGATTCCCAAATGGGGAGCCACTACTCTGTATTAAAAATGCAATTTTGTTAGGTTTCTCAATACCCTTTCCTCTATTTCTTTAGTGCTCCAATGCCCACAGTTACTTGATCACTGATTACTAATGGTTGGGTTACAGAAGAGACACTACCAGGATGACTGCAACCATATGATTATAGATTACTGACATGAAAAAAGTTTATTACTTTTTTTTTTTTTTTTTTTGCTTATGTGGTGCGGAGAAATTGAACCCAGGGCCTCATGCATGCAAGGCAAGCGCTCTACCACTGAGCCACCTTCCCAGCCCCGTTTATTACCTATTTTAAACATCCCCAAGCACTTGCATTTATGAAAGTTTTTGAATGTGAGGAATAGAAATTTAAGGGAGGGGGGTAAGGGAGCAGAAAAACAGATCTACTGAAGAGAATCAGTAAAGTGTAATAACAGGTTCACTATATCTATTCTGTATGTATTTCCTAAACCAGCTCTAACCTTTTCCACTCTTGCTTAAAAATTTACACAGGGATTGCTCCGGTAAAATCCTTTAGAGAAAGAAGCACAAAATTTGAGAATAACTAAGCTGCTAGGTAATATTTTCAGTTTTAGTTTAAAGGAGAAGCCCATGTCAACGAATTGTCAATCCTTAATTCCTGATTCCACACTGTTGCTTAATGGAGTTGGGCTGCTGCTACTCCTAACAGAGTAGAGTTCCTAGAGGCTCCCAGTACTGTATAAACAAGACAGTTTGCACACAGCTCAGACTGAAGGGCAAACACAAACTTAGAGCTATGGCAAATGCTTACCAGTTTTGATAACACCGGGTCCAGACAAAAGTTTTGGCTAACGCTGGCAAGCAAAACATTAAAAGATTATGTTTTCAAGGTCCCCTGGAAGATCTTGACCTTAGGTTAAAAAAAGTTCATTTTTACAGATTATCAACGTAAAGTGGCATTTTATACTGTTGTATAAATGTATACATGTCCATGTAATTTAATTTTCATGGTTCTGAAGGCAAATCTTAAAATAAAAAAAATTCCTGGCAATTCTATGCTTCAATATTCTAGTCCAGCATCATTTTTTTCCAAGCTACAATGAAAAGATTTACTATGGTTGTGTGATACTAAGTATTTAAAAACAAATAGAAATTTAATTTCTTTAAAATTCTCAAAAACCTTTATTCCTTTTAACCAACTGACAACAATCTACTCTGATCAAATCAAATCTATTTCATAAATGCAGTAGTATTTTTGCCAATTGTAAAGCCACTCAGAAGGTAGTTTTAAACAAAACTTGTACCTTCAGGTGCTGGGAATGTGGCTTAGTGGTAGAGTGCTTGCCTAGCATGCATGAAGCCCTGGGTTCAATTCCTCAGTACCATATAAACAGAAAAAGCTGCAAATAGCACTGTGGCTCAAGTGGTAGATGGCAGAGTGCTAGCCTTGAGCAAAAGCTCAATGACAGTGCTCAGGCCCTGAGTTCAAAGCTGCAGGACTGACAAACCAAAAACAAAAATCTTGTACCTTCATACCAGAAGAGTGAAGTCAAAATTTAGGAATCAATTAATATTAATATGTAAAGTCACTTAATACTTGACTTACAAATAGGTCAGAAGTAGTAATTTGTGGTCAAGTACATAGACATGCAACTAAATCTAAAATCAGCTAAATCTGCACTTTACTACAAATAACATCTCTCAAAGAAAAAGGTAAACTTGGACTGGAACGCAAGCCACATGGCTTCCCAACAGCACAATAATAATTTTAAAAAGCCATAGAAAGTTGGCATGGTGGTTCATGCTTCTAATCTCATAGCACACGGTAAGCTGAGCTTGCAGGAGGATGCCAAGTTCTAGGCTACCTTAGGCTACAGGTTGAGACTGCTTTACAGAGAACTAAAACAGAGAGAGAAGTCACAAGGACGACACAGGTTGGGACTAGGGAGACCTGGAAAGAAGAAAATCACAATTGTTTAGCAGTTCTCTTCCCTCTCAGGTAAACTAATGATGATATGAAAAACACCAAGGAGAATACATTCAAGTTAATGGAAACAAGTCTTTATTAAGTAACTTTTAATATCAGAAAAATAAAACTCTTATAATTCTCTTTACAGCAAATATATAATATCAGTGCTTTGGCCATCTTAAGTTAAAGGCCCTTTATCATAAAATATATGGTTTTAAACTTTACTCAAATTGAATTTATAATCCCTATGACTTCCCTACATATACATAACAAAAGAGTGTAGTAAAATTAGCAAATACTAAACTATATTGATAATTTATCATTCTTAGTTTGTGGTTTTTAGAAACAGTACACGCACCTAATATATGTCGATTCCTTGGCTTATTAGTTGCAGTGTACAATGCAACAAAATACAAAATACATGCTTGGTGAACATTCGTTCATATCTACAAGACGACAGCTAGAGATTAGGTTTTCAATACTGACATATTTACCTACCCTACAAGCAATTAGCATTACATCATAATATGCCATCAAGGCAACTTTTTTATACTGAAAAAATCAAAATAAAAACCGTTATTTGTAAACTTTTATACGAAATGTAACTCTTCAAGTGGAAATAAAAAATAAAATTTGTCTATTTACTATTGAATACACATAGGATTTCAATTTTCGTTATACTGAGAAAAAAAAAGCTCTTTTGTGTTGGGAAAATAACGCTTCAAAAAAATAATTAGTAGAAAAACCCACCAGTATAATATTTTGTCCTTTCAATGCCAGCAGAGATTTGGGGACATACTGAGGATGACGTCAGAGGCATCCACAGATGAAATGTACAAGTGTTCTTAAATCTTTCCTTGTGATTGGAAATAGTTTTGAAATGAAGTAAACTGACTGGAGGTTGTCACAGCTGCTTTTGTGAATTATGCCAAGGGCCCTGTTACCTCCCCTCCCACCCCCATTACTAAAAAATAAAAAACATATTTATAATGTGCAAGACAAATATGGTTTGAACATAAAATGTTTCACATTTTGATCTGGAGTCTAAAAATTAATCAATAGCTTGATCAGACTAATGAATGGAATGTTCACATCGTCAATTATCAGCCAATGTAGGTGCATCCCAAAGCCCTTCCTGAAATGGGAAAACCAGGTGGCCATTCCCACATTCACCAAGAGAGGCAGTGGGAAGGAATTCACAATCAAAGACAATTGCATTCCTGATCCATTGATCATACCAGCCTTGAGCACTCTGGGCGAGATGAAGGTCAATGTAGCAGTTTTGTCCCAAATTCTAACCAATGATCTAGTTAACTGCCATCAGCCCTATTATTACCAATAAGTAATCACAATGCATTTAAAAGTTACTTGCAATCCTGCAGAATTAGGCATAAATTGTTGTAAAATAAAAAACAAACAAACCTGTTTTGTCAAAACTGGCAGTGTAAAGAAGGCAGCACTGGAAGTGTCTGAGTCATCTGTAATGCCAAGTACCCTCCATAAACTCTTAATGTGGTTAGGCTTTTGGGACCCATTGTCTGGAATCTCAGACTTTTCTCATAGATCACACAACCTATGATCTTCACTCAGCCAAGTGGAACTTCAGCTTTAGCAATTCTTACATAAACTGTGTCTCTGGGTCTACAGAATAGTATTAAGAATTCAAACCAAACTAATAGACAAGAGACCACTTAGGTTTAGTGTTACCATAGCAGCCTTTTGTAAGTTTACTAACAACTTTAGCCTAATCCCAATAAAGCCTGCTAACAGTCATAAGAATTCATTAGGAAGTTTACTGGGGTACCATTATACCCATGCCTTTACGAGTCCATATAGAGATATACTATTTATGTATATATATATAGTTAAGAGTGAATTTGGATTGCCTGAGTAACAGCTGTCTGGCAAACTGGACATGATGGCGTTCTCTTTTCACAGATCTTGTTGGCACATTCCATGCAGAAGAGGTTGTGGCCACATGGAACTAGGGCAGCAATTACTTCATTCTCAAAGCAAATCACACAGTCGTGCTTTCTTCTTGATTCTGGAGGTGAGCTGGAGGTGGAGCCACCATTGGAAGAGGAGTAACTATTGGTACCATTAGAAAAAGCAGGGATGTATATTGGAAGGCCGACATGGTTGCCTGTACTAGGTGGGTCGCTCCTAACCCTCCGAGCAAGTGGGTGTTCTATGCTCTCGGGAAATGTAGGAGACAGACGAGGAGTAGATGGCTGACTTCCTCTACGCTGAGTCTTCATGTTACCAGAAGGATCACTCCCAAAGCCAGAGAGTGGGTTAACTGGTTCAAATGGAGTCCAGATAGTTTGAGCGGATGTTGGTAAAGAGTCAAAGGCGGGAGAGTCAACTGCAAGATCTTCCGAGCCTACAGATGGTAGTGTATCTCCAAACCAGAAGTTTCCTGTGCTAAATGGGCTTGTTGGACTAAAGTCGGCCAGCCTATTGCTTCCAAAGTAGGAATCGGTGGAACCACTGCCTAGAGAACTGGAACTATCATTTCGATAATTGGATATCATTCTCGCACGGCTAGGAGGAACTGGATTGGAGGAGAGCCACGCAGAGCCAAGAGTGCCACCTTCAAAACTCACATCGGTACCATTGTAATGGAAATCATTCTCTTCATTGAGCTCTATGTAGTTTCCGGTACGCATGGCAATATGCATTTCGATTTCTTCCCGTGCTCGGTCAACATTTTCCGGCATCCCTGTCACTTCAAAGACAGGTTCCTTATCTCTGCTTGGAGTCACTATGTATGTGTGGGTCTGTTGCTGAATTCTTTTAATTGTTGCTCCTTTGGGTCCAACCACTAATCCCACCACACGATAGGGGACCCTGACCTGGACCGTCGTCTGACCGGGCAGATTAGGACTACATGACAGCCCTCCCAGGGCAGGGCCATTTTTGTTTCGAGATGCTCGAATCATGGAGAAGTGCTCTGCGGCTGACAGGATTTCTCTTTTGGCCATGGCAACATCTTCTTTCCGTCCAGTGACAACAAAAATGGGCTCTTCACCACGAACAGGTGTCTTGATATATGTGTTTGTCTTGGCTCTCAGTGCTTTAATTTTACAACCTGTTAGGAAAAAAGATTCAGAGGAATCAATACCTACTTCAAAAACACTTACAAAGACAAAGCACAGAAAGCTCTTTTTAAACTGCTAGCCGATGGGGCAATTTTTATTAATTTTTTGCAGAGCTGAGGACCGAACTCAGGGCCTTGTACTTGCCAGGCAAATGGTTTTCCACTGAGCTAAATTCCCGGCCTCACCATTTTTACTTTAAAAAAAAAGATCTCTCAGTACAGTTGAGTGGCAGTGGCTCACAGGCTTGCAACCCCAGCTACTCAGGAAGCTGCAATCTGAGGATCAGGGGTTGAAGCCAGGTGAGGAAGGAAAGTCTATGGGACACTCATCTCCAATAACACTACTAAAAAATAGAAGTGTAGCTAGTTGTGGTTCAAGTAGCACTGCACTAGACTTGAGAGGGAAAAAAAAACAACAGGCTTAAGAACAGCATCTAGGTCCTGAGTTCAAGCTCTAGGACTGGCATGCAGGTATGCACACACACTCCTACACCATAAAAATGTATCACTACACAATGAAATGTTCCTGATTCCACTAAGGCTGCTAGATCTGGGCATGTACTTACCTGATGGTCTTTTCATGTGAGAAGAGATGGTAACTCTACTAGGAGGTTCTAATTCAGAAGTCAGCTTTACTATTTTCTTACTGTTTGTACTACTCATTGCAAATGATAAATAAAGTCTGCTATATATGAAAGCTATATTGTGAATGGGTATGATTTTTCGAACACTAATATTTAGTACCTAGCAAGTGTGTGGGTGGCAAGAAAAACAATAGTGTGCAAGTGAAACAATCTATTGTCAAAACTGACTTCAAAAATCTAAAGCCTTAAATGCAGCAGTGGACACTAAAAAGCACTAGACACACTATGTTGAAAATGAACTATACAACTGTAGATGGGGATGGGAGGGAAAACCGGGGAAAGCAAAGAAAGGGGTGACACTATCCTATAGCCCTGCCGGTCACTGGTAGCTCGCATGCCTGTAAATCCTAGCTGAGGAGGCTGAAATCTGAGGACAGTGGTTTGAAGCTGGCCTGAGCAGGAAAGCTCTCCAATTAACTAGCAAAAAGCCAGAGACGTACAGAGCCTTGAGCCAAAGAAACTCAGGGGCCGGGGTGCAGGCCGTGAGTTTAAGCCCCAGAACTGCCAAAAAATAAAAACAACACAACCAAAAAGACAATGTAAACCAAGGCCAGTAGTGTATCTTTGCTTCTGTTCCTTCAGTTAAATTCTAGGTCCATCACAAGTCAGTGTATTTACTTCTATCTTAGTTTAGTTATACTAATGTTTAGTCATACTGATGCTACTAACTAAATTATCTAAATTATGACATAAATGAATAGAATATGTATCGATAAAAATTAAGCTGAATGAAGGAAGGGAGCTGGGAGAAAGCTGCTGCTGAATTATGAATGGGTGAGCTTGGGATAGAGCAAAGAAAGAAGCGATGGTATACACCCTATGAAGTTCTTGATCCAACCAAACAGATACTGGACATGGCATGATGTGGATGCTCAATGTACTTTCATTAAAGAATTACTCTAATTCAAGGCAGACCTGGGCTCAAATAAAGGGACTTGCTTTCAAATTCTTTATTACGTTAAATAAAACATTGAAGCATATATGCCTAACGTGTCATAAATGCCCATTTTAGTCAACTTTTTTTTCCTTCAGTACCAACCGTGCAAACTGTAGCTCAAAATCTCCAATACACAACCAAGGTAAAAAAAATTATGGTGCTATACTTTTCAATGATGCTAACACGATTTCATGAGTATCATGCTATTTTTAGTTTCTAAAAAGAAAGAATATAAGGTACTATTGAAGATTTAAAAAACACAAAGTAATAACGTGTAAAATTTAAAACCATTTCTAGTCTGCCTACCTACAATAGTACTCCCACATACAACCCCATATAGCTCCCTGTGTTCAGTCTTGCCCAACTCCAATATTCTACATGTTCTTTAGTGAAATGAAACCTTCTATAAGGTATCCTTCCCACCAAGACTGGTCTGTCCTACACATTGCTAAAGCACCCAACCCATGCAACATGTTGAAAAGATCACTATGTTTTATTAGTTTGCTCTTTATCATAAAAGTATATCAAAAAGATGAAACCTTCCTAATTCCACGAATACTGCTACATCTGGACACGTACTTCAGTAGTATGTATTTAGGGGGAGACTATAATTCACACTTCCCAGTACGTATGTATTTTTTTCCTCTCCTGGTTCAAGATTTTCATATGGCCCCATATTAGTAATCCATTTTACCAAAGGGAGCTGATTGTTAATTTCAACTATAGCATATTCAAAGTGACTTTACTCAATCTCCAATTTTTCATTGACACACACACACACACACACACACAAAACACAATTCAATTCTCAACTTCTCTCCTATAAATGAGAACACTGAAAATCTAAAAGACAAGTAGTCAAAGAAAAAGTAAGCACACTGCTGGTATGCATACTGGTGGCTCATCTCTATAATCCTAGAAGATTGAGATCTGAGGACTGTGGTTCAAAAGCCAGCATGGGCAGAAAGTATGTAGACTCTTATCTCCAATTAACCACCAGAAAACCAAAAGTGGCACTATAGCTCAAAGAGGTAGAGTGCTAGCTCTGAATGACAGTGCCCAGGTCCTGAATTCAAGCCCCATGACTACCACCGCCGCAGCCAACAAAAGCATACAAATAGTTCCCTAGATCCTATCATCTGAAAGACTGCTTTCTAGCTCCATTAGTTCCATGAAGCAAAATAAATAATGTAAAAATTAAACCTGGTGTAATAAAGTGAGAGGACTGAGAACATCTCAGGAAATGCAACTTCAATACATATTTATAAGTGTTAATATTGCATTCTCCTTGGCCTTTGGAAGCCATGTATTGGATACAAGTTGTTCCTTTGGTTTTTATTTTCATTCTTAAATAGTTTACACTTAGGTGGTAGCAAAAGGACATGTCTTCTAACTATATACCACTTTTTAATTAAAGCATTATATAATAAAAATTTAACATTTAGGTCACTAGTCTACAATTAGAAAAATATAGTCCATTATCCATCATTCGTTACCAAGTCACTAAAAAAAAACCCATCTCAGCCTTGAGGGTTGGGATTGCAAAAGTAATCCTGCACCACCCCACCCAACTAGTTGACAATATTATGAGATGAATAACCAATGCCCCAGGTTCCAGACCCAGGTATAAACATACTTTCAGTTATTCAAACACAAATTTAGGTGTCCTGGGAAGGGATTCTGTAGATGTAATATCAATTCAAAACTGGAACTAGGGATAATCTAGGCAAGCCTGACTTAATGAGTCCTTTAGAATGTTTTCCAGACAACAAAAAGCTTGGGTTTGAGGAAGTAAACCCCAGGGGTAAGGAATGGAGTCCTGGCCAATGGCCCAGTGAGATCTGAACAGAAAAGCTGGACATACTATGTCTGGACATTTGGTCTGCAGAAACTGAGGTGATAAATTTATGTTGTGTTTGAAGCCAATAAACGAATGGAAATTGTTAGAACAGAGTTCTTATGCCTTTTAAGGGTTCTACAACTAAGAAAAGCATAACTGTATGTTCTTAGTATCACACCAGACATTCTAGAGGACTTTCCAATCAGAATTAAGCAATAGCTTTCAACACACAGTATTACATTACTGAAATAGCATAGTAAACATAAACTTGACATGAGTTCGACTACAGTCCAGAAATCTTTTGTCTATAATTCTTACAATGTTCTTATAATGTATACCCCCTCCCCCTATACATTAAAATGATAAATTTGTGTCACTGAAGCCACTGTTAACTTTTTATGGCAGTATTAGAAAACTAAAGCACGTAATAAGATGTTGATAAAGGTAACTATGTTTAGAGGTGAGAGTGGCTTGTTGGAAGATAAATTAACAAACAAGCTGGTCCTAGGGCTTTTCCTAGGTTTTCTCGGCTAATTTTTTTTTTTTTTTTGCCAGTCCTGGGGCTTGAGCTTACGTCCTGGGCACTGTCTCCGAGCTTCTTCTGTTCAAGGCTAGCATTCTACCACTTGAGCCACAGCTCCACTTCTAGCTTTTTGTTTCTGTGGTACTAATTGAACCCAGGGCTTCATGCATGCTAGGCAAGCACCCTTACCACTGAGCCACATTCGCAGCCCTAAACAATTCCCTTTCTGAGGCTTAAGAGCAGTTTAGCAACTGTAGGCTAAAGTTCAGCTTAATGCCTGAATTTTTCCATTCAAATGTTAACGCTTTCTGAAGGTTCTGGTGCGATTCCCATAGTTTCATGAGGAACTCATCATTTAGGACCTCAAGAAGCATAATCAAAAGTGAAAATAAGCCGGGCACTGGTGGCTCATGCCTGTAATCCTAACTACTCAGGAGGCTGAGATCTGAGGATCTGAGGATCACGGTTCAAAGCCAGCCCGGGCAGAAAGTCTGTGAGACTCTTATCTCCAATAAAAATTACTAGAAAACTGGAAGTGGTGCTGTGGCTCAAGCGGTAGAACGCTCGCTGTGAGCTGAAGAGCTCAGGGACAGCACCCAAGCAGAGTTCAAGCCCCACAACCAAAAAAAAAAAAGGGGGGGGGATAGTCATATAAGCAATGCAGATGAAAGACAATTGCTAACATGAAAAGCAGCATATTAAGATAGTGGAAATATACGAAAGATGACTTTACAATGTACACTAAATGAAAAAAGCCAAAGGCATTTGCACTATGACTTGAAGAAAGTGGTTTGTCTGTGTGGGAAGTTTAAGAACCATAAATGCAAATCCAGAGGAGGGCACAATGGGAACTGAAGCTGGTTCAGCACTCAGTGAGCTTCAAGCAACTGGAGGACAGAACAGAGACAGGACTGGATGGGGAGGCAGAAGTCTTCAGTGTTAGACAAAGGAGTTAATCAATTTTGGAGAGAAGTAACATGATCAGATATGCTGTCAGGCTGATGGGAACATAAAATATAGACCAAAAAATAGACAAAGAGCCAGGTG